TAGGGTTATATAACCAACTTATATTCCGTAAAGTCTTATATATCCAGCAAATCTTGTCATATGCTTACTTATGCATTCTTTCCGTTCAAAAACTGTATAAAGTCTAGCTACTTTAACATGATTACGGGACCGTGATTAATTTACGATACAAATTTAATCTCTGGTACTAATTCTTCTCAATTCCGTCTTAATAATTACGTAACCTCTGATTTTGACCCTTACACTGCTAAACGAAAGAGTTTTATTTTTTCAGGCGATCATTCACACGTGCAATAGGTTTATAATAAGTCTTGATAACTAGTTTATTTTGGGCTATAATATATATATTACACAGAACGTATGTACACCCTACATTATTTTTTAGATGTCGACATTTTAGAGAAAATTCTTGAGGATGTCAGCTACTATTCTCTGTGGCCGGATATGAAAGATGAAGATTGCCTTGTGCTTGCCATAATCTACGACTATATTATGAGAAACTACCAGAAACGGGCGCAGTTGCCCAATGATAGAGAGCTGCCTCAACCCTCCTTAACTTATATTCTAACGAATTCCGGACGTGTTATTCTCTGCCCCTCTGGAACGGAAGTATTTCTTGTATGTATCACATTTTCATACTTTTTTTCTGAATGGATTAAATTGCTTATTTTTTTATTTCAGGATGCTAAATAGATAATATTCTTTATATTTGTATCATGCATATAAATGTATCACTTGGATTTGGTAGAAAATTTCCTATTGCAATTATATTTTACTGGCCCAGAATTAGGTCTATAGTCTGCTTATATCTTCAGTCTACAACTTCAGGCATCTGTCCGGTGACTAGCCTCTGTATCTGAAAGTGGTTCTCGATATCTAGAGATCGCAGTCTACAGTAATTTCGATAAATTTCCCCTTCACAGGGGTTTCTTTTTCTTATGCCATTATTAGGCTTATTTGCGGTTTGCATTTTTCCATCAGGCCGTTGAAGAGAGTATTCATGGCATGCGTGTCCAAATTGCCGCTTCAGTAGCTCGAATCCGTGTTCGTCAGCAAGTTGGCTCTCTTCGCCTTCTCCTGCCCGAGGAATGGAGGCAAGCTGAGTTGTACTCCGAGGAAATGCCTTTCTATGGTTGGTACAACCAGCTGGTGGGCAAGTGAGCTTTCTTTGTTGAACTTTTTATTGATTTTGCTGTAGAATTTGTCTAGTCTCTGTATCAGAAGAGTTGTTTATCAGCCTCATTAGACTACAGTTTCAACCTTTTAATCACTAAACACACTAAGGGGTTCTCATTTAAAGGTAGTGTCTATTGCTGTTAAAGCCCTGTTTTA